GGCGTGTGACAGAACTCAAAATGCGATGTCAGATTTGATATTTGATTCCTAAACTGCGGTGAGCTTGCAGGTTTTATTAGAGCTTCCATTCTGACTCCAACCTCTGCTAAGAGTGTGCTGAGAGTACAGGCATGATCAGAACCTTCTGAGAAGACGTCCCCAAAAAATAAATGATGATTTCCACTTCACGATCATCTTTTCGGGCACCTCTGGACAGCTTTTAGCTCGGCTGTTTTACGTGTGCCTCTACAAAGGATACTGGATCTCCTCCAGTGTGTAAACACGATGATCCCTCAGCTGGACATTAATTTTTAGGAAGTGGGCAACATGGATGCATGACGAAAACTCCCCTCTGAGGGTTCACATCATACACAGTCTTACCTTTAAGGAGTCACACTGTTCAGGTAACATGCTGCCATGGCCCAGGAGGGCCCATGAGTCTTAACAGCCTTGCCTTGTTTTTTGGTCTTTGATGCCTGTGCATGTCAGATGTCTCAAGAGCCCCCACAGGGACCCGCCAGGCTCACGGTGATGCCAACACTATTTGGGGGAAATAAAGGTTGTATAGACCGCACCCATCCAGCATCAATCATCGCCCGTCTCCTGTGGACCACCATCCTCCAGAAGCCCTTGACAGCAACCTAAACTTTGACATTTCTAATTTAAATGAATATTCAGAATGTCGGCTCATCACTCAAATTTTACATAACTACATAACCAAGCTTATAACTGCAGCAAAGCTCTGCTCATTATTTCCTCATTAAACCCACAACTGACCGCCCACCTCACATCCTGATCGCAGAAGCAAGCTGTGACCAAGTCTATAAGTTAAAGAAAAGAAAAAAGGACGAGCAGAACGCCGAGAAACCTGGATCGAGCGTGAGTGCGCCTGCTGGAAGCAGGAGCACACAGAGATAAACGCAGAGGCTAATTTGATGCCGAGTTTTATCACTCCTGCTGCAGGTCAGAAAGCGGTGCACAGCAGAGCTTCGCCTCCGGCTGCTGCCGTAAACAAACTGGCAACTGGATGCATTAAATAAAGCTTTAACACAAGCTACTCTCCTCTCGCTTTCAGACCACTTTTAGGTTTGGCTTCACACTTCTCTGCCAGTTTTTGTGCCTGCGTGCAACACATCCAACACAATTAGCTTTAAAAAGCTTAAAAAAGCAATAAAGTTCAACATGTTTCATTAAAATACTTGCTTCAGTTCTGGGAGGCAGAGCTGCACACAAAAGTACAGACAAGGTGTTTAGCATTTAGAGCTTCATGAGACCCTGAGGCCAAAATAAATACTGCACTGGCTCCTTTACTGTAGCCTGCTGTGTGCTGATAGCACAGCTCAGTAATGCTGCAGATTTTCAGCGTGGGTTTCACAGGCAAGTCTCAATGCAAATGGAGTCCATGCACCTTGCTCAGAGTCCTGACATCAGCAGGTGACCTCCGGCTCAAAGGTAAAGACAAAAGGCATCGCCCACCAAGGAAGCACAGTGGCGCCTTCACAGCTGTTTCTACCATAGGGGGTACAGCTGCACGTGAACGAGTCTCCTCAGGTTCGGCTCTGTGGTTGAGCCGGTATCGTCGGCTTTGTCTTTTTAGCGGCAGACGCGCGGCTGAGAGGTCCTGGCGCCGAAGTGCTCGGATCAAGACACATTTTCAAAGAGCCTGAGCGTCCTCATTCAAATCTCTGAGCTTAACTCTTGGTGAGAGGACACCACTCAGCACCGCAGAGGAGGACCGATAAGACAAGTGCTTTACATCCTCATCCCTGTGCCGTAGAAAGTGTTTCCTCTTCCAGCTCCAGCAGCTTGAATCCACAGTGCTGCTGCAGGGATTACAAACTGTTTCCTAAAGCAGGAGCTGGAACGTTTTAGGGAGCTATGTTATGACACCCTGTAGGAGTCAGTGATGGCTGGTTCTTTGCTGTTTTTGAATAACTGTTTGTATCTATAAGGATTCAAACGGTTCTTTAAAGATTAGTTTTTGGCTGTGAGGGTCAGCTAAACATGCTTCAGAAACCAGAAGAGTTACTCCAAAAGTCAAAGACGTATAAAGAGAATGTTCGGAAAAACCACAGCCAAGTGTTTGGACTACGGAAAAATCCTGAAAAATGGAAACCCTCCAACTTCATGGCATCACTCCTTAAAGAGTTACTTAAGGATAAAAATCTACCAAAACTGTGAGGGAACTTTTGAGGAATCAGACGATATAAAAGAAAACTGTGAGGAGGAGATCATCCTGACAAGGGGCATCATTAGTGTTTTGTTTGCTGTCATGTTACAGCTCTGTGTGTTGGTCTTTATAGAGCAGAGCTGCTGCACTGCTGAACCTCACGGAGATCTTAATAACAGGAACCTATTAGAAGTGAGAGCAGAATAAAGCTACTCTCTCACATATCGACACCAATAACGGAAAATCTGTCACACATGCAAACCATCTGTTGTCTAATGGACGTCTTGTAGGTAAAAGCCGAGGCTTTTATGTGTTTTAGGACCACATTAAGAGAAACACTGTGCGTTTTTACTAATTGTGAGCGTGCGGCGAGTTGACTGGCAGAATATCAAATGCAGTGCGTTCGGTTGAGCTGATGTACGAGACCAACATGGAGTTGAACCGCTGTAAGCGGCGGACACGGACACTCTGAAGGTCTCATTATGGAGACGTGCTCTCAGTAAAGCATTTAGCTGCAGAGCTGTTATTAAAGCCGGTTAGTGTAAGTCAGGACTGCGAGACACTGTGCTGGGCAGTTTGAAGCCGTAACCTGATATTTTACAGACCAGAAAATATTATGAGTTCCCAGAGTTGAGAATAAGTCAATAAAAAAAAAAAGCGGAGAGATCAAAAATCAAATCAAATGAAAACAAATATGAAGCATCAACCACAACAACAAACCCCAGAATTACAGCCTCCAAGTTCATCTGTGGCACCGGTCATCATATGGTGCCAACAACAAGGAGCCATTAATCACACATCTGTCACAGGGATCACTGACACATACTCAGAACTCAGATCTGAACACAAACACCATATTTTACTTGTTTTAATTCAGCACAGCCATCATGAAAAACAAATTCTCAGAAATTTGTTCAAAAATCAAATGAAAAACATCCAGAACTTCCTTAAAAATCACATCTGAGGACTGCTGGTGCATGCATGAGTCCACTGCAGCACACTTCTAATAACTGAACCCAACCTGAACAGACCTTTTATAGCACACAAACACAGGATTCAACAGTTAGGACCCTCACGGATTGTCCCAGCTGTGTGTTCTATATACACTCAATCAAAAATAAAGACTCATTTAAGGTCAAATGGTTGGACCTGGACTACCCCGTGAGCAGCGGGGGGTTAACATCTTCCTGCTTTGAGAATCTCATCAGAGACCTCCGCTCGCTCACAAACCAATTAACCCAAACTCATTGGCCGAGTCACGTGACAGACAGCACCTCCCAAACCGAGCTCGAGCTGAAGGCGGCTGCTGCAGATTGGATGATGAATTGCTGCCCCTGTATGAAGTTTAAACACACTCCCAGGAGATCATCCAAATGCTCCCTCTGGCTACAAACTCACTCACATCACTGTGTGGATGAAAACTTTCTCGACAGACACACAAGAAAGCGACTTCTCAGACTTTTACATGCTTCTCTGGTCTTACTGACCACTCTTTATCCAGACTTGAGGCCAGTTAACCTAAAGTGCACATCTGCTGGAGGACACATGAAAGCTCCACACAGTCTCCACCCAACCAGGAACTAACTCTTTAAGCCCTGCACCGCAGCACCTTCGACTTATCCTTCAAAGATGATGCCTTTGATTTATGCTCGTGTGGGACAAGTTTTATAGACTTCAGGCTACTGTCTACTGTCGCTGACCCCAAACATCTGTAGGTCTGAGAGCAGGAAGTTAAGTTTCAAGCTGTTGCAGAGTCTCTGAGAATCTGTCAAGTCCTGCTCTGACAGCGGATGGCGATGTCTCCAGCATGACCCAATGAGACATGCAGCAGTCTGACGTCACTGTGGAGCGCACTGCTACAGCAGAAGCAGCAAACAGAGCCAGGAGGACTGCTTTAAAGATCCCACCACTCAACAATCAAGCACAACGACAGAGAAAAATCACTGTGACAGAGGTTTGGAGGAGATCCCCAAAGCAGTCAACCTATTACCACAGTCTCCTTCATAATGGGAGAAAACCCCTAAAATGCTTCACTGCTTGATTAGCCACAGAAGTGCCACAGGAAACAGGAAGTGCATCATGCAGAAAATCTAAAAACACATGCAACCTCAATCTTGGACGGCAGACTCGTGCACCCAGCGATGACATCACAGTGACAGAGACACGCCTCCTGCTACAAACTACACCCCTGTGTCTGCATCAGCACCAAAGCAGGTTTAAATCAGAATCAGAACTAACTAACTCTAAGGAAATTATGTGGGTTACAGTTGCTCCAAGGCAGCAACAATAACAGACTAAACTAATTAACTAATACAATATGTTACAGAATTTGCAAATTTAAGAAATAGCACTAATATGCAAATCACTCAGTTATAAATATCAAGAATATTGAATATACTGTGCTTTAAGAATTACATTATTAAAGCACAGTTCTTTCCACGTCGTGTTTAAATTACAGATTTACGTTCGTAACTATGAATTCCTACTAAGACTAAAACCTTCAGTAGTATACTTACTAGCATCATGCAGACTCACCTCACTTCCTACACTGCACACGATGAGGAAAACCTCCAACAAACAACACGAGTGAATACCACGAAAACCTCCAGAGCTCAGGTGCACTCGTGCTCGCAGACAGACACCGAGAAAAAGCTTCATGACATCAAACATTTCCTCCTTTGTAGCTTTAAATCCAAAGTGAAGCTGAATCTGAGCGGTCTGAAGCAAAGTTCAAAAAACGTTCAGGCCTGCTTCCAAAAACCATCACAACAACGCCATCTAATGGTGAAAGCAGCCACTTTAAACCCCTCTGACAGGCCAGCCGACTCACCTGAGGCAGATGCAAAGCAACCTGGGATGTGAGGCGACCAAATGGTGCTGTAGATGACCCCTTCATGACCTCTGAGGGTGGTCAGCGATGGACTGAGAGCAGGGTCCCACTGACAGAGATAAAACTAACATGAAGAAGACAGAACGCAGACGGAGAGGGGAAGAAAGGAGAAACTTTCATCTTACCACTTTCACCGTTTGATCCCACGATCCAGAAACTATCAGGCTTTCTCCTCGAGTCTGACTCCAGTCCACAGTGTACACCTGCACACACGTCACAGTCAGAACACCTGTGTGTGTGTCTGTGTGTGTGTAAGCATGTGTGCGTTACCTCCTGTGTGTGTTCTTTGGCCACCCTCAGTGGAGCACTGTGATTGGCTGTATCCCACAGCTGGAGGCTGCCATCGCCGCCGCCTGCCACCAAAATGTGCTCATTAGCTTCACTCCATGCCACGTCGAACAGGCCGTCACTCCACTCCCAGCTGAGACACACACACACACACGAGGATGACATAAAAACTTAATCTTTGACCTTTGACTGAATTCTTGTTTCCTTTATTCGACTTTAAAGGATTATTTCTGGGGGGGGTTTAATGGTGTTGTGAAGCAGTCGCCTCCAGCACGGAGCTATGCAGCTTCCGACAAGTCTCTGTGTTTCAGTCTTCCCCAGATGTGGAGTCAACAACCTCAGAAATGGCACACTTCACACAAAGATTTTATATCTACTGAATAATCACACATGCGTCATCATTCAGAATGCAGATGAGGAGGAATGTGACTCCTACTGATTTGTATATATCATCTGCATTTTTATTATTTTCTGAGTTTTTAGACCATGTCACTCTCTCAGTGGAAGTCCTGGAAGTCAGTGGCAGTCACATAAAACCAGGGGTTTCTATCTGGTTTCCTCGCAGTCTGATAATAATCTGATCTGTGCTGAAATTAGATGAAACCGAGCCCTAAACCTCCTGCAACTTCTTATAATCATCATCTGTAAGCATAAAGGACAAAAACAGATGTTAGAGAGAGAGAGAGATGAGGAAACAGATGTTACCTTCTCACTAAGGTGAGCCCGGTCTCGGTCTGATCCAGGACCAGCAGTGTGCCGCAGCCTGTACACACACAGACAGAGTGGATAGGAATGAGAAAGCTGACTGTTTAAAAACAGCTGAAACGCACAGATCTGTGTTTCGGTGTGAAAACCGCGTGATCATCGTCGTCATCGGGGTCTGTTCAGCTCGCTGAGGTCGACGTTCAGAAACAAACAGCACGTCTTATTTTATTTCAGAATATTTATACGGATCAAAAGTCAGGAAACAGAAGTGATGAAGAGCCACAAACTGGAGTTCCTCTAACGTCCGCACGAGGCTCCAGCAGTGAGCATTCATTCTTTATCACATCCAGGTGTGTTCTCCAAACTGTGACCACTGAACTCTACTGACCTGCTATCCCGTAGTACTGTGAGGCAGCACAGGCCACTCTGCTGGGGATATACGGAGACACTTCCACTGCGTAACCGTGACGGGCCGGACTGCGAAACACCTTCACCGTCATCATCGTCACATACAAAGAAACCCTGATGGACAGAAAGGTTTAAAAAGTCTGGAAAGACGACATCGACTATTTACTACAGCATGTACTGTTACTTTGAAGCTTTTTTATGACCCTCAGGCGAAATATTTTAGAAAATATGACAATTAATGTGCACAAAACTTGTAAGACGCCAAATTTCCTAACAAACATTCAGTGCATTTACATTCACAGTGGGGCGGTTTTCTAACCACGTTTTTCACACACGTATTAATCTTTCTCTCGTTCGTCCTCCAGCAGGTGCGATAGGGTCTTAATTAAAACTTAATACTCGGGGATTCCGGTTAACGCGGTCCACGTTTGCGCTCTGAACCCGCCCTGTTGTGTTTTATCAAATAATCCGTGGGGTTCAGAGATGTGAAGCTCTGAGTCTGTTAATCTGTTCACACGTAAGAAGTACGCGGGACTAAAGTAACGTTTTATGACTCAGACCGTGTCTGATCAGCACCTGCTCTCGTGTGGTCTGCAGGTGACAGAGTGACTTCACGGACCCTGATCACATTTAAATTGAAAATGGCTGTCACGTGACTCATAGAAACCAGGTCGTCTCGTGGGATCGAGAGAAAAAAAGCTTCAAAACTTCAGAGACCCACAGAAGTTCCCGCTGCTCCTGCTGCTCTTCTCACTCCACTCACTGCTTCTCCACTTCCGTGTTTTGATCAGCTGACTCCGGATTGAACGTGCTTATACTTGTAGTTGTACAGTTTGCCGCCAGGTGGAGACATTTCTTTACCTTAAAACCAACAAGTGCGCTTATTAGAAATTATAATTCTTTAAAAACACGACATTCAGGTAAATGAAGCTAGACAGGTAATGTTACTTACATTTGTAAAAATTTATTTTCATTTTTAAATTTAAGAAAAGCTTTAAATAACTGGAAAACTTCATATTTTATTAATTATAATTTTCTATTAAATGACATATTTTCTTACGAGATGGAGCATCTGCACGTTCACGGAAGGAGTAATGGTCACTGCTTTTGTGCTTCGTGCAGTTAAAATATTAGTTTTCATTTCCTCAGAAATGACCAAAGATTAGTTTTATTTTTAAAACAGCAATTTCCTGGAAACTGACTTCAAACTGTGTTCAGAGTCTGTGCGCGTTCAGTAATCCACATGTTATTCCAGAGAACAGAAAATGATAGTTTGTATATGTAAGAAAACATCCTTGCAGCGGCAGTTTCCTGCTGAATCGGTGTTACAGCACAAGGATGAAAACTTCAAATTAAGGTGAAATATTCACAGCAGCACACTAAGAGCTCTTTTCAGTCAGTAATCAGGTTTTAATCGGCTCCTCCTGAAGCTCACTTTATGAGTGGTGCAATAATATTTGCAGCAGTCTGCTCAGATGTTTGCATATGAAGTTCACTCTAAGCATGACTCAGCTGTGAGCATTCACTTTAAAATAAAAACACAAATGACTGCAAGAAGAGTTTGTTTGTTTGTTTTTAAACAAAAAACAAAAACAGGACAAACAAAGAAAATAAAATCAGCTGCAGGACTCTGAAACATAAAAAATGTTCCAACTCAGGACTGAATAACATGGGAGAGTAGCGAACACAAACCAGAGTGAAAGGAATCCTTTGCTGAAGCGTTCAATGCTATCTGGGAAAAATCACGCTCTTATGATTGTTTAGAAATACAGACAGAAACTTTTCTGTAATACAAAATGTGCTTTTCTGCATCACACATGGAGCATTGCACTCAGAACACATAACCAAAGACGCTGTGGCCTCACACTCTCACAGCCAGGACGAAACCGTGATTGCAACCACAGCTCCATAAATACTGCGTCGCCATGGAAACCAGGAGAAAGCTGCAACTGGTTACCGGTAACAGGTACAAATATTATTTACAATTTCATTGATCATCACTGAATTCCTGATTCAGAGGAGAAAGCAAAGATCACACTTTGGTCTCAGTGTGACCGGCCTTTCAAAATAAAAGTACATAAAATACATTGAGTGGTGTTAACAGTCTGAGATGATCTCAGAGGAACACGAACCAACACGTCTCTGTTTGAGCTTCGCATCATTCAAAAGTCATAAAAGATCCTTGTTCACGTCAGATAAAGAAGTATTTTGGTCGGGGACAGAGAAGAGGAGGAAAATTGTGTCTGCAGTGCTGGAGTGCACCACCTGCCCTGACGTAGCGTGTGACACTTTTGGACCACAAACTTAACAACAGTAATTAATTTGCTACAAAGATCTTAACAGCAGATCTTTATCACTTTACCTGCTTGCATCAGGATTCAGGCTACATGGACACATGAAGGAGGCGGAGCCTGCAGCTTATTAAACACATGATACAAGCTGCACCCGTTCATGTCTGTGTGTGTGTGTACAGCACGTACAGTAGTGAAGTATTAAAGTGTGTGCTCTGAATGCTTTAGTGAGTATGAACGCTGACGGTGCTCGATCACAGACTCATCTTAGCTCTGTGATCAACTGACGGCTGGACAAACGCAGACAGTCAGAGAACAGGCGTCTGCTTACTGTCCTCGGCTGCGCTGTTTGACCGTCTGAGTAAGACGACAGAATAAATACTCTGTATTCAGATGTAGGCTTCATCTACACAGGTTCAAATTTTAGACACTTTAGTATCAAATCACCACTTTGACAGTTACAAGCCGATGAAGCGGTTTTACATCTGCAGACGGCCTTCTTGCAGGAATAAAGTCGGTCGTGGAAAAACTGTTTCTGGACAGATTCTTGTGAGAAATCTAAACTTTAGAAAGTCTCCTGCTGCTGAACACGGATGTGCACGTGCACAGAGTCCTCTGTGCAGAAGTTTAAGTTCCCATTAAGTAATCAGACATCAACACTGAAGCGTGGCGCTAACCCTGCAGTGACCCCGATGTGCCCGAAGTCCTGCTTTGTGCAGACATCCGTTTAGTCATCGATGAAAACAGAAACCCAGTATCTGGAGTCATCGGTCAGGGACAGACCATCAAATCTGGAGCTACCTGAATCACCTGTAAGAAGAGTCGGCACGTGTGGAGTCTACAGGGAGGATTCAGTCCTTCCCCTTTGAATGAGCTTCCATCAAAACGTTCGTGGGCTCACTGGAACTTTGTGGCGCCAAACTCGGCCTCGTGCAGAAACTGCTGCATCTTGGTTCGGACCCATGACTGTTTTTCTGCTGTCAGTCTCCTCATAGCCGGAGCCAGGCTCAGCAGGAACAGCGTCACGTCGTCCCTCTGCTCCATGTCACGCTCCCTCTGTGCATCCCTGGCTTCTGTCTTCGTCAGGAATTCCTCCAGCAGGCTGTCGACGCTCTTCCTCTTTGGCCGGAGCGGCCTGGGAGAAGCGGGGCGGCGCTCTTCCTCCACCTCCTCCTCATCGTCCGTTTGGACGAGCAGCTCGTCCACGTCGCCTTCCGGCTCCTCTGTCTTCAGCTGGTTCAGCCGCGCCACGGTCCAGGACAGCGGCGGGCTGCGATGATGACTCTGCGGATCCTGTTGCAGAAGAGGGGTCTGCGAGGAAGAGCGTGACGAAGCTAAGGTCGTAGCAAGAGATGTCACCGAGTGCATCATCATCTCAAACAGCTCCTTCATGTTGGCGTGCTGCTGCGTCTGCAGGCCGTCGTCAGTGTCTGTGGCGCCTGAGTTCACCTCAACCTTTGCTTCTTTGGGCCTGGACGGGTCCAAGCCGACGGAGGGTGGCCGCTTCCTCTGCGGGAACTCTGAGGATGAGGACGAGGATGTCGTCGTGGTCGCGTCAGCTACGGCGAACCCTGAAAACAGACAAAACAATCAGAACTAAATCGATGTCGAATCACGAGAAAATATTAATCAAAAGCCATCAGAGACCCGGGTGCTCGGACTGCACATGGAAAAGCTGATGAGGAAGTACTGCAGGCTGGCCAATCAGAAGGAAGTGTCAGTACGAACCGTAGCTCTCGTCGTCGTCGCTCCGCGTCTCCGTGGTCGTGCTGCAGCCGACCATTTCGGCCACCTGGACCTGAGAGGGCTGTGGGTCCAGGGCCCAGCCATTGGTACCGGCTGCCCGGGCATCGATGAATGGATTAAGGAACGACAGGATGGACGAGTATCTCCATGGCCGGTAGTTAAAGAGCCCGATGCCGCTCTCGCGCCGCTCCTTCTCACGCTGCCTCTCCCTCCTGTGCTGGTCTCTCAGTGTCTTCCACTTCCTTCTGCACTCCGACTCTAATGTGGAAAACCACAAGTTTGCTTTAATTAAACCATAAAACCATCAAATCCAACAATTAAACCATCCTGCTGTGTCCACAACCAGAGACACACACACAGAGTCACATTAAACGCTTTATTTTCACCTGCATACAAAAACTAAAACTAATCTTTGCTCTAATTTAGTTTATTCTGCAAAAACTAAAACAAACTCCCAAACAACCGAACTATTTTTGTTTGCTTGGTCATATTTCACAGCAAACTTGTGTTTGGACAATATTCAACATTTGAAGCAATTTGACTGAAAATAACAAACAGTACTACTCACATGTGAAAATACTCACGGCTCAAAACTCCTGTGTGACTTTTAGCCAAATATGAATTTCAATCATAATTTTTGCTTCCAATGGTTATTTAAAAAAATGATTAAAAATAATACAAACAATTAACTAAATAGTATTAATTAAAAGGACCAAAAAAAGGCAATAATAAAATAACAACCAATTTTTAAAAAAACAAAAACAAATGCAGAATCCAGATAAATTTTAAACATTCAAACTATTTTTTGGGATATTTTTTACAATTTACATTATGTTTCCTTCCATACATTTATGATTAAACATATTAGGCTGTTTGTTTAAAAAAAAATCCAAGTAATAAAATTTCTGTTGAATTTTATTTTAAAGGCTTTTAAATATAATTTAAAACGTCAGTAATTTCTATCATGTTATTATTAATTTTTAATGTTAAAACATATAAACCCATAAATAACAAAAGCGTATTAACAGCTCCTTTATTCTGTATTTTATTTTATTTTCCTTTCTTTTCTTCAGCGAACCATAATTTACTGTATTTGAAAATTTTTAAGTTCAGTTAACAAAGACTGTCTACATGAGTAAAACCTTAAATACTTGTGTTACAAACACACATATTTGGTCGTCATCACCTTTTTCCCCCAGTTCTGATTACTAGAAAAATCCACTACGACCAGTTATTTCCCAGTAATTACAATATATGAGTAAAAGCTGCTGATTAAAGTTGTCGTAGATTTTCTTACAGTGTTTCTTTCATAAATCTGTGCTGATAATTCTGAAGAGGAACGATTGTGCTGGAGCCGAGAGGCGACGAGCGTAGGAACATAATAAGGGTCGGACCGTATTTGTTTTGAACTTTTCTCTGATGAAAATCTGAATGTTTGACATGTTTTGAAAGTTTTCCCTCTCGCCCACATCGAAAGTGCTCCCGTGTGAGAGCTGAAGTTCGCGCCGGGATCTCGGCGCTGTTCTGAAACT